CAAGCAAAGCAGCACCAGGCTCCCTGGAGGCTCTGTGTCCTGCACTGGCACAAGGCTTTCCTTTCTGGGAGTTAGTGTGCAGACCTCTCTCTGTGCAGGCCACAGAACACAAGTGTCTTTGTGGTCAGTTTTAAGTTCTTTGGGAGAGCTTGGGTAATACTATGAAAGACAGAGAGGTAGGAATTTAGGATCCAAAGTCAAAGATACCAGGAGACCAAGGCCCACAGAATCAACTAAGCTGTGTTTATAGGGACTAACAGAGACTGAAGTGACAATCACAGAACATGCATTGGTCTGTGCTTGGTTCTCTATATATGTGTTACGGTTATGTAGCTTAGTGTTCTTGCTGAACTCCTAACAGTGGGAATGGGGGCTGTCTCTGTCTGTTTTGTCTGTTCTTGGGACCCTTTTCCTCCTATTGGGTTGTCTAGTCCAGACTCAATATGACGGCCTGTGCCTAGTTTTATTCTATATTGTTATGTCATGTTTGCTTGATCTCTCTAGAAGGACTGCTCTTTCTGAAAGGAAACAGAGGAGAAGAGGATCTGGGAAGAGAAGAACTGGATGAGGGGGCTGGGAGGGGTGGAGACATGGAAAATCACAGTAATGTATATATGAAATAAAAAATTCCATTAGGTGTACGTCCAGTAGTGTCAGGTCTGAGTCATGGGTTGCTTCTAATCTCTACCTTTTGAGGACTTCTCACAATGATTTTCAAAGTAATTGCACCAGCTTGCACAACCACCAACAGAGACTAATGGTTCTTTTGTTCCTGTCCTTACTATTTCTTTCATTCATCTTTTATAATCACTCTGATTAAAGTGATATGAAATCTCAAAATAATTCAAATTTTCATTTCCCTTGTAACTAAGTATGCTGAACCCTTATTAAAAGTGTTTGTCAGTCATTATTATTTCTTTCTTTGAACTTTTTGGTCTTTAGTTTGTGTATTGACTTGATTGTTTTGTTTTGTTAATAATAATTTATTTTAATTTCTTTTTGAAATTAAGTTGCAATGTAATTTTGCCACTCCCCATATACCTTACTTCCTTCCATATGTCCCCAGAAGCACTCTCTAAAATACCTCCCATGTCTGCCCCACTCTTAAATAAACTTCTTTTTCATTAAGTCCAAATGGATCAAATACCTCAACATAAATCCAGCCATACTGAGACTCTTAGAAGAGAAAGTGGGAAGTACCCTTGAATGAATTGGTTCAGGAGACCACTTCCTGAATATAATACCTGTAGCACAGACACTAAGATTGACAATTAATGCATGGGACATCCTGAAACTGAGAAACTTCTGTAAGGCAAAGGACACAATCAACAAGACAAAATGGCAGCCCACAGAATGGGAAAAGATCTTCACTAACCCCACATCCATCAGAAGTCTTATCTTGAAAATATACAAAGAACTCAAGAAACTAAGACATCAAAAGACAAAATAATTCAATAAAAATGGGGTACAGATCTAAACAGAGAACTTTCAACAGAACAATCTCAAATGACTAAAAGACACTTAAGGAAATGCTCAACATCCTTAGTCATCAGAGAAAAGCAAATCAAAACAAGAGGTAACCCTTGTCAGAATGGCTAAGATCAAAAACTCTGATGACAGCTTATGCTGGAGTGGATGTGCAGTAAGGGGAACACTCCTTCATTGCTGGTGAGAATGCAAACTTGTACAGCTACTTTGAAAATCAGTATTGTGGTTTCTCAGATAAATGGGAATCAGTCTATCTCAAGATCCAGCAACTCCAAACTTAGGCATATATCCAAAGGATGCACATTAATACCACAAGATTTCTGTTTGATTATGCTTATAGCATCATCATTTATAATAGCTAAAACCTAGAAGCAACCTATATGCCCCTCAACCAAAGAATGAATAAAGAAAATATAGTGCATTTACACAATGGAGTGTGACTGAGCAGAAAAAAAGGAAATCTTGAAATTTGCAGGCAAATGGATGGAACTAGAAGAAACCATACTGAGTGAGATAACCCAGACCCAGAAAGACAAACATGGCATGTACTCACTCATAAGTGAATATGAGACATAGAGCAAAGGATAACCAACCTACAATGCACAACCCCAGAGAAGCTAGGAAGCAAGGAGTACATACATCAACACCCAGAGAAGGGGAAAGGGACAAGAGCTCCTAAGCAAATTTGGAGCATGGGGGAGGGGGAAGGGAGATAGGAGGCAGGGGAGGGAGGAGGAGAACGTGAGGGATCAGGAAGATTGAGGTGAGGGAAGAACAGAAAAAGAGAGCAAGAAAAGAGATAGATACCTTAATGGAGGTAGCCATATGGTTTTAAAAAGAAATCTGACACCAGGATAATGTCAAGGGATCCATAATGATGATCCCAACTAAGAATCTGAGAAACAGTGGAGAGAATAACTTAAATGACCTTCCTCTATAATGAGATTGATGACAACCTTAAATGCCATTCCAGAGCTTTCACTCAATAGCTGATGGAAGCAGAAGCAGAGATCCACAATTAACACTGAGCTGAACTCCTGGGATACAACTGTAGAAATGGAGGAGTGTTGAACAAAGGAGTCAAGATAATACTGGGGAAACCCACAGAAACAGCTGATCTGAGCAAGTGGGAGCACATGGACCCCAGTTTGACAGTGGGAACCAGGCCGCCTGAATGTGGGTGTCAGTTGGGAGACCAGGGAAGTCTATGGAGCTCTGACAGTGGAACTAGTATTTATCCCTAATGCTTGGATTTGGGAGCCCATTCTCTATGGAGGGATACTTACTCAGCCTTTTTACATGGGGAGGGCCTAGGCCTTGCCTCAAACGATGGACAGACTTTGATGATCCCCATGGGAGACTTCATCCTCCCTCAGGAGTGGATGTGGGGTGGGATGGGGGCTTGGTATGGGGCATGGGAGGACTGAAGGGAGAGAGGAATCTGGGATTTGTATGCAAAATAAGATTGTTTTTAATTTAAAGAGAAAAAAGAAAATGCAATGGGTCATTTGATTTACATTATATTGTTCTAAAATACTGTATTATCAAGGATGTTTTTTCTAATAGGGTGTGATGTGTATGGTAAAATATGAAAAAACCTAATCAGGTAATATAAATATACTAAAGTTTTCATTCATTCTGTAAGTTTTTACGCAGTTATGATTCATTATTTATGCCTCATAAAATTAGTAACTGACATATGTTTCTAAGTGCCAGAATAACATGTAAAACGATCTCCCTTCCTTACTCTCACTTACCCCCTTCTGTGAGTGTGTGTGTGTGAGTGTGTGTGTATGTGTGTGAGAGTGTGAGTGTGAGTGTGTATGTGTGTGTGAGTGTGAGTATGTGTGAGTGTGTATGAGTGTATATGTGTGTGTGTGAGTGTGTATGTGTGTGTGTGAGTGTGTGTGTGTGTGCTGTATGTAGAAGATCAAGTGCACTGTACCCATAGGAACTTCAGTTGTTCTGCGGTCTCATCAGCTTTTTAAGTAACTGAACTATGTGAGATGTTGAGTCTTTGTGTTAAGCGCCTAAGAAGGAGCATGCTTAGGGCTTATATGGTATAGTGTTCTCTATAGTTGTGCTGGCTAGATTTATGTCAATTGACACAAAATCTAGTCACCTGAGAGGAGGAGCCTGGATTGAAAAAATACCCCATATGAGTTCAGCATGTAGAACATTTTCCAAATTAGTGACTGATGCATAGGGCTCAGTTCATCGTGGGTTGTGCCATCCCAAGGTTTGTGGTCCTGCATTCTATAAGAAAGTAGGCTGCGCAAACAATGAGAAACAATCCATTAAGTAGCACTCCTCCACAGCCTCTGCATTAGCTTCTGCCACCAGGCTCCTGTCCTGTTTGAATTCCTGTTCTAACTTCCTTCATGATTGAACTATAATGTGGAGATATAAGCCAAACGAACGCTTTCCTCCCCACCATGCTCTCTGGTCATGGTATTTCACTGTAGCAATAGTAACCCTAACAAAGACAAATGTCACGAGAGCAGTTTTGTGGTCATCTTCAGAGGTGAGTCTGAATATATATCCAAGATATGTCATTGACATAGCATACAAATAGAACACCAATAAGCTGAGACAGAACAAACAGGGTTTGTAAAGTAGGATACAGGAGAGTTGTAATGGAGAAAACAAATGTCGTCTTTAGTCAAGAAAGAGAACTCAGACAACAACACAGGTCTTACTGAAACTGAAAAGACAGGAGGCTCCACTGAGTCACAACACTCTACAGTGATGATGTTCAGGAAGAGGATATTTCCTATTTTGTAGAGTCAAAGCCAGTCATGCATGGATTTGCATTTTGGTTGGGAAATTCTTGGACCGTCCCACTGTCAGTCAGCTGTACTGGGTTTGGCAGCCAGTCCTATAAAGAGGTCCTTGGCTTCATGACTGCAGACTCCTGGTACTCAAGTTCTAGACTACTTTGGAGAACCTGGTGAGTAACGTTTATTGTGTTGGTCTGACTTTATGGTGTTATGTACTGCAGCCAAGTTTGAGGGACTAAATACAGTGACTTTAACTTTTATTTGGTATGCAGATGATGTATTTCTCCTTCATATGCATCTTTTGGTGTACTTTTCATAGGCCTCTACCTTAGTAGGTATTAGAACCTGGACTTCCATGAGCCTTCCTCTTCTCTAAGCCACAGACAACCTGCTGGGATGTCACAAGTGACAAGGGAAACATGGATGGGTCTCAGATTTCTCAGGGAACTAGAACCTGAAGTTGTCTCAAAGATACTTCTGTGTGAAAACAGCCTTATTTGTTTTATTGAAACAAAATATTTTCTCCTGGAAAAAGGAATGTATTAAATGAACTTTCCCAAGGCTAGTGACACGTATTGCTAACAGGAAAGCTAAAATCAAGGATATCTTAAAATAGGAGTTAGGGTATATGTGCATAATGGATCTGATGTTCCATGTCTCCATCAGTCTTCTCTGTGTGGATCAGCCTTGAACACTCTCTTGTAATATCTTTCAGATCTTGAGACTTCAGCACTATGTCTTACCAACAGCAGCAGTGCAAGCAGCCCTGCCAGCCTCCTCCTGTGTGCCCACTCCCAAAATTGCCAGAGCCTTGTCCTCCCCCAAAGTGCCCTGAGCCTTGTCCTCCTCCAAAGTGCCATGAGCCTTGTCCTCCTCCAAAGTGCCCTGAGACTTGTCCTCCTCCACAGTGCCCTGAGCCATGCCAGCAGAAACGCCCTCCTGTGCAACCTTCTCCACCCTGCCAGCAGAAGTGCCCACCAAAGACTATGTAATGACTTCAGCTCTCATCAGGACCAAGAGAGGAAAAGAACATCTATTTCATCAACTTCCTTAGAAACACTTCCTTCTTCACTTAAAGCCTCTCATGGATGCAGAAGAATCTTCTCCACCCTTCACCCTCCATGTGTCTGTGATCACCTGATAGGGAAGGCATTCCCCTGAGTTTGTGCTGCTTCTGTTGTAAAGGGTCTCCTGAATATGATCCTTCCTCACTGGTTCAGTGTCTCAGATGCTCTGAGTGAAGAGACGCAGCTTTCCACCCTGTGCACTGAGAGGATGTGTCTAAATTGTCAGTCAGCTTGGTTGGGTTGTTTCCACTGTGGTTTCATTTCCTGAATAAAGTACACACAGGTTGATGCTATTCATGTGTTCTTGTTTTCTAAAATTCACTCAGTTACCTGCCTAATATGCTCTGTTGCATTGTTTTTATTCCTTGATTCCCAGGTTTATTCTTCTGTAATCAGGTCTTGAATGAGTTTTGGGTTATAACAAAGATTACTTAGTATTTGTTTGCTTGTGAGTGACATAATTACATTTTATACAACTACAAACTCTCTTTTAGCAATGCTATCTTAAGAAGATGATGACATTCTCAGATATGCATGCACCACCTAGGACATATTTTCTCTGTATACCCTATACAGTTGGCTCTCACTTGTCCCCTCATGTGATGTAGTATTTTCACATTTACATCAGCCTGCTCTTCCTATGTTTTTCTCCTTCAGTATTTGAACCATCCATTCCAAACTTGTATTTCAGAGTGTATTTTTATTTCTTAACATGATGATGCACATTTTCATTTATTAGTTTGAATACGATATGATATTATAGTTCTTTATGACTAAATACTATCCCAGTATATATAAGTGCCACATTTCCTTTTTCCCCTCAATATATGTTTTTATTTAAATTAGAAACATGAAACATGAATGCTTCACATGTCAACCCAAGCTCCCTCTCCCACCCCTCCTTCCTTATCCCTCCACCAGCCCTCCCATCTCCCCATCCAATCCCCACATCATTCCCCAGGGAGAGTGAGGCCCTCCTTGGCGGATCTCCAAAGTCTGTCATCTCATCCAGGATGGGAACTAGGCCCTTCCCCACGTGTCCAGGCTGAGAGAGCACCCCTCTATTTGGAATGTGCTTCCATAGATCATTCATACACCATGGTAAACACTGACCTACTCCCCAAGGCCCCAGTGATTTCTGTGGCCTCCTTCCTGGCACTACATTCATGGAGTCTGGATCAGTCCCCTGTTGGCCTTTCAGCCATCAGTCTGGGATTCAGAGCTCCCCCTTATCAGGTCAGCTGTCTTTGTGGGTTTTACCATCATGGTCTTGACCCCTTTGCTCATCACTCCTCCATCTCTGTCACTGGGTTCCAGGAGTTCAGTTCAGTGTTTAGCTGTGGGTATCTGTCTCTGCTTCCATCAGTCACTGGATGAAGGTTCTAGGATGGCATATAAGGTAGTCGTCAACCCTATAATCAAGGGGGGGCTATTACTGTAGTCTCTCCACTATTGCTTAGTTGCCAGTTGGTGTTATCCTTGTAGATCTCTGGAGGTCTCACAAGTGTCAGCTCTATACTAAAAGCCTATAATGACTCGATCTATTATGATATCTCTCATCCTGCTCTCCTCTATTTTTAACTCGACTCAACCTTCCTGCTCCCCCATGCCTTCTTCTCCCCTCCTCTTATCCCCCTCTCTTTTTCCTGGTTCTCTCTCCCCTCACCTGATGTTCCCAATCTGCTCAGGAGATCTTGCCTCATTCCTCTTCTCTGGGGTATCATGCATCTCTCTTGGGAACCTCCCTGTTTTCCAGACTCACTGGCACTGTGATTGTAGGCTGACACTCCTCTGATCCATATCTAAAATCCGTATATGAGTAAGTACATTTCATGTTTGTCTTTTTGTGTCTGGGTTACCTCACTCACGATGGTTTCCTCTAGTGCCATCCATTTGCCTGCGAATTTCAAGATTCCATTTTTTTTCCTCTGAGTAGTACTCCATTGTGTAAATGTACCACATTTTCTCTATCCACTCTTAAGTTGTGGGGCATCTAGGCTGCTTCCAGGATCTAGCTATTACATATAATGCTGCTATGAACATAGTGGAACAGACATTCTTGTTGTGTGAATGTGCATCTTTTGGGTATATGCCTAAGAGTGGAATTGCTGGGTCTTGTAGACTGAGTCCCAATTTTCTGAGGAACCTCCATACTGATTTCATAGTGGCTGTATGAGTTGGCACTCCCACCAACAGTGGAAGCATGTTCCCCTGTCTTCACATCCTCTCCAGTGCAAACTGTCATTGGTGTTTTTGATTTTCGCCATTCTGACAGGAGAAAGATGATATCTTAGAGTTACTTTGATTTACATTTCCCTAATGGCTAATGATGTTGAGCACTTTCTCAAGGGTCTCTCAGTCATTTCATACTCCTCCATTGATAATTCTCTGTTTAGTTCAGTTCCCCACTTTTTTATTGGATCCTTTGGTGTTTTGGAGATTTGCTTCTTGAGTTCTTTGTAAATTTTGGAGATCATCCCTCTGTCAGATGTAGGGTTAGTGAATATCCTTTCCCAATCTGCGGGGTGCCTTTTAGTCTTGATGACTGTATCCTTTGCCTTACAGAAGCTTCTCAGTTTCAGGAGGTCCCGTTTATTAATTGTCGATCATAGTGTTTGTGCTACTGGTGTTATGTTCAAGAAGCTGTCTCCTGTACCAATTTGTTCAAGGGTACCTATCTGAAGTCTTCTACATGCCAATATTCAGTTATGCCAGCACCATTTGTTGAAGATGCTATCTATTTTCCAATGTATAATTTTAGCTTCTTTGTCGAAAATCAGGTGTTCATAAATTTGTGGATTAATCTCAGGGTTTTCAAATCGATTCCACTGGTCTACCTATGTATTTTGTGCCAATACCCAGCTGTTTTCAGTACTATAGCTCTATAATAGAGCTTGAAGTCAGGGATGATGATGTCTCCAGATGTTACTTTGTTGAGCAGGGTTGTCTTGGCTATCCTGGGTTTTTTGTTTTTCCATATAAAGTTGAGAATTGTTCTTTCAAAGTCTGTGAAGAATTGTGCTGGGATTTTGATGGGGATTGCATTGAGTCTGTAGATTGCTTTTGGTAGGATCGCCATTTTTATTACAATGATCCTACCTATACATCAGCATGGGAGAGCTTTCCTTTTTCTGGTGTCTTCTTTAATGTCTTCCTTTTTCTGGTGTCTTCTTTAGTTTCTTCCTTTAAAGACTCAAAGTTCTTTCAATACAGGTCTTTCACTTGTTTGGTTAGCGTTACCCCCTGGTATTTTATGTTGTTTGTGGATATTGTAAAGGTTGATGTTTCTCTGATTTCTTTCCTGGCCATTTTATCATCTGTATATAGTAGGGCTACTGATTTTCTTGAGTTGATCTTCTATCCTGCCACATTGCTGAAGGTGCTTATCAGCTATAAGAGTTCCCTGGCAGAGTTTTTTGGGTCACTTATGTAAACTATCATATTACCTGCAAATAGTGAAATTTTTTACCTCTTCCTTTCCAATTTGTATCCCCCTGATATCCTCTTGTTGTCTTATTGCTCTAGCTAGAACTTCATGTACAATATTGAAGAGGTATGGGTAGAGTGGACAGACTTGTCTTGTTCCTGATCTTAGAGGAAGTGCCTTGAGTTTCTCTACATTCAGTTTGATGTTGGCTGTTGGTTTGCTGTATATAGCCTTTATTTTGTTTAGGTATGTTCCTGTTATCCCAGATCTCTCCAAGACCTTTATCATGAAGTGGTGTTGGATTTTGTCAAAGGCTTTTTCAGCATCTAGTGAGATGATCATGTGATTTTTGTTTTTCAGATTATTTATATGGTGGATTACATTGATGGATTTCCGTATGTTGAAACATCCCTGCATCCCTGGAATGAAGCCTACTTGATCATGGTGGATGAGTTTTCTGATGTGTTCTTGGATCTGATTTGCCAGTAATTCATTGTGTATTTTTGCATCAATATTCATGAGGGATATTGGTCTGAAGTAATCTTCCTCAGTTGTGTCTTTGTGTGGCTTGGGTATCAATGTTATTGAAACCTCGTAAAAAGAGTTTGGCAAAGAATACTTTGAGGAGAATTGGTATAACCTGTTCTTTGAATTTCTGGTAAAATTCTACACTGAAGTCATCTGGCCCTGGTTTTTTTTTTTTGGTTGGGAGAATTTTGATGACTGCTTCTATTTCCTTAAGTGTTATAGACTATTTAAATTTCTTATCTGTTCTTGATTTAATTTTGGTAAGTAATATTTATCCAGAAAATTGTCCATTTCCTTTAAATTTTCAAATTTTGTGGAGTACAGATTTTCAAAATTTGACCTCATGATTCTCTGAATTTCCTCACTGTCTGTTGTTATGTCTCCCTTTCCATTTGTGATTTTGTTAATTAGCATGTTCATATTCTGCCATTTGGTAAGTTTGGATAAAGGTTTGTCTATCCTGTTGATTTTCTCGAAGAACCAATTCTTTGTTACGTTGACTCCTTGTATCGTTTTCCTAGTTTCTACTTTATTGATTTCAGATCTCAATTTAATTATTTCTTGGTGTCTACTCCTCTGGGGTGAGTTTGCTTCTTTTTATTCTAGAGCTTTCAGTTGTGCTGTTAATTCTCTAGTGTGACTATTCTACAGTTTCTTCATGTGGGCACTTAGTGCTATGAACTTTCCACTTAGCACTGCTTTCAAAGTGTTCTATAAGTTTTGGTATGTTGTGTCTTCATTCTCATTGAATTCTAGGAAGTCGTTAATTTCTTTTTTTATTTCTTCTTTGACCCAGGAATGGTGCAATTGTGTATTATTCAATTTCCATGAGTTTGCAGGGTTTCTGCAATTTGTGTTATTGTTGAATTCTAACTTTAAGGCAGGATGGTCTGATACAATAAATGGAGTTATTCCAATTTTTTGTACCTGTTGAGGTTTGCTATGTTGCCAAGTATGTGGTTGATTTTTGAGAAGGTTCAGTGTGGAGCTGAGAAGAAGGTATATTCTTTTGTGTTTGGATGGACTGTTCTGTAGATGTCTGTTAAGCCCAATTGGGTCATAACTTCTATTATGTTCTTCATATCCTTATTAAGTTTCTGTCTTGTGGTCCTGTCTAGTGGTGAGAGTGGGTGTTGAAGTCTCCCACTACAAGTTTGTGAGGTTTTATATGTGCTTTGAATTTTAGTAATGTTTCTTTTATGAACGTGGATTATATGGCTTTGTGTTTGGGGCATAGATATTCAG